CTAGAATGGAAGTAATTAATAATTACTTCTTATCAAACACTAACACTGTGCTTACTTTCACTCCGGAGACTCACCAGATTCCTTTGCAATTATTTTTACTTGTTATGGGCCAACAGTGCTAAATACTGTATAAGGCACAAAATAGAACAGTCCCTGCCTCAGAGTTCTTACAATCTAAAAGGCATGAATGGAGAAAACAGGATGCATTGGGAAGCCCAGAGACAGGATTCACCTGAATATAATATTTTTGTTGTTGTATTTACAATTCTTAGCCTCTCAGGACCCACTGACAGTACAAAGGTAACCAAGTCTGGGGATCTAGTTATAATTGTAGTGTGGATGGAATCTTATCCTTAATTTCCCATTTTTTGTAATTGAGCTATAATCTTAACATGGTTATGGTCTTTACTGCTATGTTGCAACAAGGTCAGGGAACAACTATATTGTAACTGTGGCTTCTGACTTGGTAGTGTGGTATGCTTGATGGTATATGTAGTATAAATAAGCCTTTTACTGCCCAATGCCTGGTTCTCTACTATAAGAAATCCAAAGTTCCTGCTTTTGTCTGACTACTTCCTTATGCCATTTTAAGAGACAATAACATCTCAGTAACATCACAGCAACTCGATTTAGGCCAGTATATGGAAGCAAGTATGTATTCCACTAAAAACAATGAGGAAAAGCTGTGTATAACTCTAGGGAAAAGAAAAGAGACAGTAGAGATAGCTATCTGTCCTAAGATCCCAACCTATCAAGCAGCTCCTATCCCAGGGAAACAAAATGTCAGAGATAACATTACATTCTCTGACCTCCTCCTATACCTGGACATTCTGCCCCCATTGAGCCACTCCTACCCCCAGAGGAAAGGAAAAAGACAGCAGAGTTAAAGGTAGCTACATAGCATCATGCCACTGAATCAGAAATGGACAATGTTAACAAATGGACACAGGGGACCAAACCCCAAACAGAAAATGAAATCCCATCCTGGACAAATGCCGGGTGTACTGAGATCACACACCAAACACACTACGTCCTGGACAGACACTGGATACACTGTATCCACCTCCGACAATTATTCAAGGTTTCTGCCCTTTTCACACTTTGAAAACACATGTAGAGTAGGTAATTTGACTAAGATGTTGGAATTTAATAGAGCCATGAGTGAGCACTACACTATGTTGAAGAAAGTTGATCAACCCTCTTTTTTAATTAAAATATGAAAAGGGAAATCCATTTGCTACCTATTATTTCCCCTGGAGCTAACTTAAGGTTGGGTAAGGATTTTGAAATGCTCTTTGGGGAAAGAATGTGCCTTATAACAGGTCAGAAACCACAGGTCCCATGTGTGGGACCCTTTCAGTGTGACCATTCAACCTAAATATAAACATCAGAGTAAAGGAAACAAAAAGGTATCCCATTATCTTTTCTAGAGTCTGCATCTCAGAAGGGCCCCATGATGCAGGAGCTACATCTAGCTCCCAGGAAACGTGACACAACTGTTGTTAATCAATCAGTCCCAGGTATCTACAGACATCAGAACACATGCCAAACAATCAGCACCAAATAACAGAGATTCTTAAGGTTCCTGGGCTGAGCCGTCAGGGTGAGGCTGCCCTAAGGTCCTCAGTCTTTTCTTTTTACTTTTATTGAATAAACGTCATTGGGAACCCATAGTTGGTCCTGGTGCTTGAGTCCCAAATAATTTAGTGAGAAAAAAATTATAGGAGATGGGGCAGCAAGGCTCATCGACTCCCAAAATGTAAAACCTGCCTTCAGCGCCAGCACTAGGCAAAAGCAGACAAAGCAATTGCTTAGGGCCCCAAGCAGCTCTGGGAAGCCCCCTCTTAATTATTAGTATGTGTTGGTAGGAGGGGGAAATATTCCTGCTTGGATCCCCCAGTGGGCTAGCACTGGCATTGCCTGCCCTAAAACCTCATGTCATATCAGGGCTAATTGCTTTGTGGCACAGAAACTTTGGTACCTAGAGCTTGGAGGGCCGAGGCAGCACAAGATTATCTCCAGTTTAGGGACATAAAAACACTAAGGATCCGAATTGTTCAGAAAGAGCTGATGGCATTTTCAGATAAAATGAGAGAGAACATTGCAGACGCCTAATGAGTTAGGTAGAGGAGGGAGGCAGATAAACAAAAGCCGAAGAAGGCGATGGCGAAACTCCTGTATCCCTGCACTAGGGAGAGAGAGAGCTAAACTATGGCAAGAAGAGAAGGAATGGCTTCTCCGCTTTTTTGGAGGGGGCGGGGGGCAGAAAGGGAAATAACAACACACGACCAGCCCTTGGTCTCCCGTCAGCCAGCCAGATTGATTCATTGCTCCTGCAGATCAGCTAATTGGCTGAAATTAGGGTTGCCAGTTTTGGCTGGACACATTCCTGGAGGTTTCATCACATGACATAATCTTTAATTAAAGATTACTTATTTTTTTTAAATTCCTGGTGACTTCAAGGCAATCCTGGAGGGCTGGCAACCCTAGCTGAAACATGTGAAAAACTGTTTAGTAGAGCAGAAAGAGCCTCATATTCCAGATTCCTCCCTACTGAAGGTCAGCCCCAGAAATGTGATCTTCCCCCCAGTGGTGCCCCACCAGTAGCCAGATGAGATTCTAGTAATGTGAGTTTCTTCAGAGCAGTGCCTAGCACAGACTCGGGCAACTTTTTGCTTTCTCACTGAACTGTCCTAAGACTCCATCAAGTGAGCCCCTTCACAGCAGAGCTCCAGGTCCCTGAGCCAGCTGAGATTTGGGGCACTGCTGTAGCTAAACTCAGGAGGTTGTTTGCAGTGTCACCTCCTGCTCTCCCCAGCTCTCAAAGAATAGAAGTGAAAAAAAGGAAAACTAAACCCTGTTTAAAAGTGAAGAACTATGGCTAACCACGCTCCGGTGCCAGCGGCTCCTAGACCTCACCTAGGAATAGCAACCCCCTGCTGCTCTTGCCCCTCTGGGCACGTGGTTTTGCTCTGATCTCTGATCCTCAGCGTGGACAGCACAGCCCCACCTGCTATCGGGCAGCGGCCTGTCTCATCCCGCAGTGACAGCCGACTAATTGGATCAAGAGCTCCGGGAACTAGGAGGAGGGGAACGTGGTGAGAGTCCAGCTGCCTCACCCCGCCTGGCGCTGCTCGAGCCCGCACTCCCTTCCCGCTGTCCCAGGCCTTAGCATCTACTCTCCAGCCACCACCAGCGAGACTCCTTTGGAATCCCCGGGGCTGCCTGGGTCCGCCCAGCTGGGAGCTCCTCGCGCTGGGAGGCGGGGCGGGGGCCCTTGTGTCCTGCAGCCTGAAATAAGGGTGGGGAGCTGCTAAAGCTGGAGGGCGAGGGGCAAAGCTAGAGCTGTGAGGCAATCCGATCTGCCGCTCGCCCCACTGCAAACAGGGCAGCCTGCCTCGGGAACGCTCTGGGACGCTGCCGAGCGCGGCTCCTTTGCACCCGGGCTTGGAGCTGAAGTCGTTAGGGTAGCAAGTAGAGAGGTAAGATACAAAGTAATCTGCCTCCGGACTGCAGTTGGACAGGGGGTGGCCCTAACGCTCCCCGCGCTGCCGGAGAGGGGCTCCTATAGATGCGTTCCCTTGCCCTAGCGAAGGGCAGAGCAGAGGCCCCCTAAACTTCCCTCCCCTGTGGGGGGGTCTCTCCACTCCGCAGCCCCAAACAGGGCGCTCCCCCAGGCTCTTTCCGGACCTGTTCCCCAGTAAGTACCGGAGCTCCCAGGGCGCTGGCTGCTAAGCCCGGCCTGTTCGGCGGTGGTCGGAGTGGAGGTGGAGTAGTCCGGCCCCCCCTGGAGGGGAGGCAGCGCGCGGCGGAGCTGCACTTAATGGCAAGTGAGCTGGCGACTTAAATGTAAAAGTTTCCTAGCGGAATGGCGGGGGGTGGGGAAGCTCCCCCTTCCAGGCCTCCCGCTGTGGGGGGGAGGAGGCGCCGCCATTCGGATCTGCACTGAAACCCCCCACCCCTTGGCAGGGACTTCGCTCTCCTCCGCTAGGCTGGGCTATCGGCCGCTGGTATGTGCGCCGCAGGCTCTCCAGTTATTGCTGTGCTCTGGGGAGTGGAGCCCCGCCATCCCCTCTGCGGGAGCGGGCTGGGAGCGGTGCCCTGTTAGTGTCCGGCCCCAAGGGTGCCCCGTTAGGGGGTCAGCTGCCATGAGACGGGTATAATGAGGGTGACCAAATAGCAAGTGGAAAAATCAGTACAGGGGTGAAGTGGGGGAAATAGGCGCCTATATAAGACAAAACCTGGAATATTGGGGCTCTCCCTATAAAATCAGGACATCTGTCACCGAGCTCTAATAGAAGCATTTTCCAAGAGGTTAGGTAGAGACCTCACGCTGATCTGCCCTTACAGCCCAGCTGCTGAGGCAACCCACCCCATCGCCTGTTCTCTGGGTTGGGGTCTCAGACACCCCCCCACACACACCTCAGCTCCTGGGCTCAGAACTAGCTTGTCCACATCTGAACAAGTTTCTGCAGAACCTCCCTTAGTGCCTGCACTCCTACTCAGTCCCCTGCTCCCATCTCTTTTCCCCGGAGACTCCTAGGGTGGGTTCTCTGTGGGACCGCACTCCCTTCTGTTTGGAGCAGGCTTCTCTCCTTTACAGCCAGGGAAGGGGCGGGGGAGAAAGGGACAGGGCCCCTTTGTGAAGACCATGTGGAGTTGCTTCCCACACTGAAACTGGAGCTGCAGGCCCTGGAGCCTGGCAGAGCCTCTGTTAAAGGGATAGGTTTCAGAATGGTAGCCTTGTTAGTTTGTATCAGCAGAAAGAACGAGGAGTACTTGCGGCACCTTAGAGACTAACACATTTATTTGAGCATAAGCTTTCGTGGGCTAAAGCCCACTTCATCAGATGCATGCGGTGGAAGATACCGTAGGAAGATATACATATATACACACAGAGAACATCTTCCTACGGTATCTTCCACCGCATGCATCTGATGAAGTGGGCTTTAGCCCACGAAAGCTTATGCTCAAATAAATGTGTTAGTCTCTAAGGTGCCGCAAGTACTCCTTGTTCCTTTTGTTAAAGGGATAGGCACCCTCCTGCTGCCCTTTGCCAACTGGACTGTGCGGAGGTACTATCATGGTACTGACACCTCTATCCTGTCCAACTAGCTGCCTCTAGTCTCCTAAGAAAAATGTATTCAAACTGCAGCAGACCACCTAGATCCCATTCAGTCCTTAGCCCAACTCCCACTGGAGTGTCTGGGGCGGTGTCCATGGAAATAGGGACTCCTATATCCATTCCCAAAACAAATAGGCCTCTTCAGTATGCTATCCATTCCTCAAGTCCAGCTGGACCATTTGGTTTCCATTTGGTTTTCTGCCCCTTCTTAGGCATCAGCTGGGGACATCCTCCTCATATTGTAAATTCCTGACTCCCAGAGCTGAGGGTGACAAGTTAGAATTATGTGCTGCAGAAACTTCCACCACTCCTGTCCTTGCTTAACTGTGGCCACTGATCTTGCATTTGGGCTTTCTAGGGCTGAGGAGTGGATATGTGGTGGTGGGGAGGCTGAGAAATATTTATTTTGGAAGAGTAAGAGGAGCAGTTCTTCACAACCTACCTGTTTTTACTATCTGGTAACTGCATAAAACCCCTGGGACTATCCTCTCCTCTTTAGCGCATCAACACATATGGAATGTTGGTGTACTGGGTGCTCACCACCAGATTTTGTGTTGCCTTGAGAGCACAGACCATCTATGGCTTGTCCTTACCTGTGGCAGAAGGGGTCAGACTCCTCAGCAGAAACAGCAACAAGTGCAGGTATCCTGGCCCAAATGCTTTAACCAGTTTGTCCACTTTCTGTGCCAACTACTTTTTTTTTTTTTTTTTTTTTTTGCCTGTTGCACTTCCCAAGCTCGGAGACCTTTTTTGTTGGGGGAGGTGAACTTTAGTACTTGTTCTCTGAAATTCCCCATGAGCTCCTGAGCATCCTTTTCTCTCCCTCCCCTGCCCTAAAAACAAAAATAAATCTCTACCCCAAACAGAGGTTTTCTGCCTTCCAAAACAGAAGCCAAACTAGAGACTCAATGAAGCTCATTAGGAACTATTCCACTGCCAATCTAATGAAGGTACTATTATAAGTTGCATACAAAACCCTAACATTCTTCCACCCCACTCTGGAATTAAAATGTAGCTGAGAATTAGTTAAGTCTTACAAAGAGCTCAGATACTTTTCTGTTTGTAATAGGAATACTCTCTGCAGAGCAGTTTCAAGTGCTAAAATTACTAGAGCACTGGATTCTTCTGTCTCTGGGTGTGAGCTGATCTCTGGGTGGGGTCAAAATGGAATTTCTTCCAGTGCATTTCACAACTAGGTACACCATGTGTCAAAGGATTACCTGACTATGAAGCATCAGACATTCTTCACTGACAAACTATCACCTAGAAGAAAAACCAACAGTCTGTTTTTGTTTTGGCAACTCCTTTATTCCTAATATCTACTTCAGCAGAAGAGATTGTTCCCTGAACCATCCTCTTGTCTTCTTCCAAGCAAAAGTTTGAGGAAAAAGATAAATGTGGGAGTGACTGGCCTGCTGTTCTCCCCATTCTGTGCCTGCTGAGACTTTTACCTAAGAGCTTGCTCCTGTCTGTGGCTTGTCTGCACTTGTTCTTGTGAAGATTGTTTCCTTCCTTTCCTATGCAGTTAAGAGAGGCCTAACATCTCTGACAGCCAAGCATAGGGTTGACCTCTCTTGCCCACTTGGGACTCCATTATGCAGTGCCAGCAAGTGAATGGTTTGCAAGGATTTAAGATGGGATGGACTACACAGGATTGTGGACTCCGTCAACGCAGTACAGAACTCTGGGGCAGGTTGTTGGCTGGTGAGTGGCCATTAGTGTTTTACGTATCCAAGCCATACAAGTGTGAAAACATTTTCAGTGAATGGAATCCCCTCATTGGGAAATGTCATGTCTGGTGTTCCTAGTGAAGATTCAGAGCCTTGTGTCTTGTGCAAGAGCAGCTAAAATCCTGTGTGCTGGGTCTGGATGGACACAGGCTCCAAATTCTACTTCCTTACTCAAGGTTGTCATACCATCTGATACTGTCTGCCTAAACAATAATGGTGATGAATAATCCCAGAAAGAAGGGCAGGGCAGGACTTTAGTATTTACAGAAGTGGACCTTTCTGAATAAATCATTTATTACTGCTTACAGAATGGTGAGTGTACATGGCACCATAAAGGGGGAACTGTGCAGACAGATAAAGACTGCTCCCAAAAAATCTTAGTCTAAAGGCCTTCACAATAGGATACAAAACCAAATAAGAAGGGTGTCTAGTGAGTTGTGTGTCTGGAAGTCTTTATAAAAATGTGACTTTAGGAGCCTCTTTGGAGGAGAGGAAGGAGACTGGTGTGCTTGAATTAAGAAGCTGTTGCAGGATGTCTAACTGCTCTACACCCTTCTGCAACACACTTGTTCTCCTAATGGAATGTCCTAAATGCTGCCTGTCTTTCTGTGCTGGTGAAGTTACTGCACTTATAAAGGGATAGTCCTCATGCTGCAGAGAGTTTAGTGTATTCATTCCTGTGATTAGTCAGCTTTGTTTCACTGATTGGTACAATAGTTTCAAGCTCCCTAGAGTTGTGGGCTGAGGCAGCATATGTTACTGGCCTCCTAATCATATTTTTGTCCTGTAATAGTTCCTTCTCTCCATGAATTGCACTAATGGATTGAACCTCCCAGACTCTTGGGAGGCAGAGTATTATCTAGTAGGTGCCACTGGGGTATTGTAATCTGCCAAAGGTGACCTGCAAGAGACTCCTGAGAGGATTTAAAAACTCCTTTAGCCTTAGAAACATCAAGCATATCAAATCTGACTTCCTGGTTCACCTTGGTCTCCTTGGAGATCAGAGGATGTTTATTTTCAGTTCATGCATCTTAATTGAAGCAGTAGGGGTGTTTTTAAATATCTAATAGATGCCCTTTTCCAAATACTAGTCCTTGAAGTTGTTAATGAACCACCCTCTTCTTCCCCACAACTTAAAAAAAAAAATCCTTTCCCTCAACCTTTCTCAAAAAGAAAAGGAGTACTTGTGGCACCTTAGAGACTAACCAATTTATTTGAGCATGAGCTTTCGTGAGCCACAGCTCCACAAAAGCTCATGCTCAAATAAATTGGTTAGTCTCTAAGGTGCCACAAGTACTCCTTTTCTTTTTGCGAATACAGACTAACACGGCTGTTCCTCTGAAACTCAACCTTTCTGTTGCTCAGTTTTCTCTCGACTCTTGTGATGTCATTTATTTCTCTAGTCTTCCAATCACCACAGAGTCTTCAGGGCAGATGAGTTAAATTTCAACTCTTAAACACACAAATCAGGGAACTTCTGGGGCAAAAAAATTCCCAGGCCACTTAATTGATTAGAAAGAAGCAGAAAGGGATAGTTCCAATGTTCTCTTCCTTTTCAGGTCCTCTTTAACACAGCTGTTCTATCTCGGGGCCTCTCCTTCTGCCCCTCCACCCCCACGAACATGATACAGTTCTGTGGTGACCTAGAATCCTATTTTCGACGTCTCCATCTCAAGGAATATTTCCAAAATACCTCTGAACAACATACTAATCCACAGAGGTCTCCCTGCCAACACTACAGAAAGAGGGATTCTAGATGGACTCCTCCTGAAGGTCAAAACAGCAGACTGGACTTCTACATAGAGTGCTTCCGCCGACGTGCACGGGCTGAAATTGTGGAAAAGCAGCATCACTTGCCCCATAACCTCAGCCATGCGGAACGCAATGCCATCCACAGCCTCAGAAACAACTCTGACATCATAATCAAAAAGGCTGACAAAGGAGGTGCTGTTGTCATCATGAATAGGTCGGAATATGAACAAGAGGCTGCTCGGCAGCTCTCCAACACGAGTTACTACAAGCCATTACCCTATGATCCCACTGAGAGTTACCAAAAGCAACTACAGCATTTGCTCAAGAAACTTCCTGAAAAAGCACAAGATCAAATCCGCACAGACACACCCCTGGAACCCCGACCTGGGATATTCTATCTACTACCCAAGATCCATAAACCTGGAAATCCTGGGCGCCCCATCATCTCAGGCATTGGCACCCTGACAGCAGGATTGTCTGGCTATGTAGACTCCCTCCTCAGGCCCTACGCTACCAGCACTCCCAGCTACCTTCGAGACACCACTGACTTCCTGAGGAAACTTCAATCCATCGGTGATCTTCCTGATAACACCATCCTGGCTACTATGGATGTAGAAGCCCTCTACACCAACATTCCACACAAAGATGGACTACAAGCCGTCAAGAACACTATCCCCGATAATGTCACGGCTAACCTGGTGGCTGAACTTTGTGACTTTGTCCTTACCCATAACTATTTCACATTTGGGGACAATGTATACCTTCAGATCAGCGGCACTGCTATGGGTACCCGCATGGCCCCACAGTATGCCAACATTTTTATGGCTGATTTAGAACAACGCTTCCTCAGCTCTCGTCCCCTAAAGCCCCTACTCTACTTGCGCTATATTGATGACATCTTCATCATCTGGACCCATGGAAAAGAAGCCCTTGAGGAATTCCACCACGACTTCAACAATTTCCATCCCACCACCAAACTCAGCCTGGTCCAGTCCACACAAGAGATCCACTTCCTGGACACTACAGTGCTAATAAACAATGGCCACATAAACACCACCCTATACCGGAAACCTACTGACCACTATTCCTACCTGCATGCCTCCAGCTTTCACCCTGACCACACCACACGATCCATTGTCTACAGCCAAGCTCTGCGATACAACCGCATTTGCTCCAACCCCTCAGACAGAGACAAACACCTACAAGATCTCTGTCAAGCTTTCTTACAACTACAATACCCACCTGCAGAAGTAAAGAAACAGATTGATAGAGCCAGAAGAGTTCCCAGAAGTTACCTACTACAGGACAGGCCTAACAAAGAAAATAACAGAACGCCACTAGCGGTCACCTTCAGCCCCCAACTAAAACCCCTCCAACGCATTATTAAGGATCTACAACCTATCCTAAAGGATGACCCAACACTCTCACAAGTCTTGGGAGACAGGCCAGTCCTTGCCTACAGACAGCCCCGCAACCTGAAGCAAATACTCACCAACAACCACATACCACACAACAGAACCACTAACCCAGGAACTTATCCTTGCAACAAAGCCCGTTGCCAATTGTGCCCACATATCTATTCAGGGGACACCATCACAGGGCCTAATAACATCAGCCACACTATCAGAGGCTCGTTCACCTGCACATCCACCAATGTGATATATGCCATCATGTGCCAGCAATGCCCCTCTGCCATGTACATTGGTCAAACTGGACAGTCTCTACGTAAAAGAATAAATGGACACAAATCAGATGTCAAGAATTATAACATTCATAAACCAGTTGGAGAACACTTCAATCTCTCTGGTCACGCAATCACAGACATGAAGGTCGCTATCTTAAAACAAAAAAACTTCAAATCCAGACTCCAGCGAGAAACTGCTGAATTGGAATTCATTTGCAAATTGGATACTGTTAATTTAGGCTTAAATAGAGACTGGGAGTGGCTAAGTCATTATGCAAGGTAGCCTGTTTCTTCTTGTTTTTCCTATCCCCCCCCCCCCCGATGTTCTGGTTTAACTTGGATTTAAACTTGGAGAGTGGTCAGTTTAGATGAGCTATTACCAGCAGGAGAGTGAGTTTGTGTGTGTATGGGGGTGTGGGGGGGATGTGAGAAAACCTTGATCTATGCAGGAAATAGCCCGACTTGATTATGCAAAGAGTTGTCACTTTGGATGGGCTAGCACCAGCAGGAGAGTGAATTTGTGTGGGGGGTGGAGGGTGAGAAAACCTGGATTTGTGCTGGAAATGGCCCACCTGTTGATCACTTTAGATAAGCTATTACCAGCAGGACAGTGGGGTGGGAGGAGGTATTGTTTCATATTCTCTGTGTGTATATAAAGTCTGCTGCAGTTTCCACGGTAAACATCTGATGAAGTGAGCTGTAGCTCACGAAAGCTCATGCTCAAATAAATTGGTTAGTCTCTAAGGTGCCACAAGTACTCCTTTTCTTTTTGCGAATACAGACTAACACGGCTGTTCCTCTGAAACCTGTCATGATGCTCTTCTGTATCTTTTCCCTTAACTCTCCTGAGGTTTGGGGTTGTGCCTGAGAAACCGAGCTGATGCTATGCATAAGCAGACTTAGGCTATGTTTACACTGGCAACTGAATGACAAAACTTTTGTCCTTCAGAAGTGTCAGCGCTCCCCGCCCCAAGACAAAAGTTTTGCCAACAACAAGCGCTGGTGTGAACAGCACTCTCCTGCCGACAAAGCTAACGCCGCTTGTTGGGAATGGAAGTTTTTTGTCAGGAGAGCTAACAAACGGGCTACATTGTGAGTCTTTTAGCAGCTCGGCTGTAGTGACACAGCTGTGTCTCTAAAAACTGCATAGTGTAGATATAGCCTAAGCAATTGCTTAGGTCCCTGAGCAGCTCAAGGGGGGCCCCCATTTGCTTTTTAGTGTGTTTTTGGGGGCCCAAAAATATTCCTGCTTATGACCCCCAATGGGCTGGCACCCCCCCGCCGAGGAAAAAAGATCAGGGCATACATCTAATTGAGCTCCAATCCAGACTAGATTAGAATGCCCTGTATGCTCTGCCAGAGGAGAGTTTGCTTTCCCCTCCCCCCTTTAGAGGTTTAAAAACAAAGCTGACACTGCCTCAACCATAGTCAGCTACAAACCCTTCAAACTGTTTGCATGCCTCCCTCATTAAGTTATCCCTTTGTAGTTGGCCAGTATCTTTCATAGTGGTACCTTCTTTTTCAGGGTAGGCCCAGTCAGAGGTGATGCCAAACTCTACCTATTTCTTCCTGAGGGGGCTCCTCAGAGGCCAACTGTGGATATCAGAGTGGGTATCTCTGGCAATGGCACCATTATCTCATTTTTTCATGTAGCCTCCCCACTAGGAGACTGTCGCTTATCCATGTTCCTTGTCAAGATACTAAAAGCACTGAGATCTGTTTTCTACATTTCTGAGAAATTGGGTGTGGAGTAGAACAGAGGTTCTCAGGACAAATTATTTGGTGGCCTTAGGGTGCGGCCACCAACTTTTGCTTGTGGCCGCTCTCACACTTTTTCCTAAAATATTCAATTAGCTTTAGGAAAAACAAATAAATATGCACATATACATGTCCAAATCATTGTAATTTATTTATTACTAGCTAGGAAGTCTGCTGTGAAAAGTGATACTTGTATGTTTGTTAATATCACTTTTCACAGCAGACTTACGCAGCACTGGGAACTGTGGGGACAAAGTAAGCCCTAGATGGGGGATAGGGGGAGGTGCCAGAGGCAATGGGGTGGGGCAGAGTCTGAAACCCCGGGGCTGGAGCCCAAAGCCTTGCAGCCAGAGCCTGCTTCTTTGCCACCGCCGAGCTGAAGCCCAAATCCTGAGCCCCACCCCCCGTTGGAAAGATGGGGAACTTACTGGCTGCCCAACCCTTGCTGGAAGCTCAAGCAACCAACACCAAGGCAGTGCATCCAGGAGCACCGGGGTGGGGGCAGGGCTGCTGCTCCCTCACAATCACACCCCAGGAGGCTGTGGCTACAAGAAAAGCCCCTGGTGGCCACATGCAGCCACGGTGGCCGCATTTGAGAAACACTGGAGTAGAACACCATGGTACCAGCTAGCAGGGGTCTGGTTCTGTAGGCAACAAAAGGAATAAGTGGGATCTCAGGATGTCCCAGCCTCTCCTGGTGGACTGGTTTGCTGGGAACCTATCTAACTTTTCACCCCCTGTAAGTAAACTTTTTAGCCTAGAGGATTAGAAAGCCAGCTGGGTCACTGCAGGCAGCATACAAGCTGATGGAGTTTCCAGTCACCCACTAGCTGGCAGTGATTATTATGACGTTGCACTCCATATGTTTTATGGAAATATGCTTATGAGTATGAATATGATGTAACTGGAATATGCTTTATGCAAAAGGTCTCTTGTAAGGTATCATAACAAAGGTTATAAGCTACTGAATATATTCATCCTATTTGTATGCATGTATCCTTGTCTCTGAAGCTAGAAATATGAAGTAAAACTCTGAGGTCCTATTGTAATTATGCAAAGTGTGGGCCATTAATGGTGGTTTAAAATCTTGATGGCTCCCATTGGCCCAGACAATGGTCATAAATGGTTTATTTACCTGCAAACCTTCCTGTGGGCCAATCCAGGAAGAATGGAGACTAAGGGGTCTTACAGTGACATGTGACCATGTTACATGATGCTGGAATCCATCTTAATCCTTGTACTTTTCCATTGTGCTTGTCCCCACCCCATCAGACAAGAGTCCCACCTTGTGCCAAAGCTATAAAAGGGAGTGGAGCAGGACAAAGGGGTCTTCCAGTCATGAGAGAACCCCTTCTCACCACCTGAGATGTGGGCTGGAACTAACAAGGACTGTACCAGCAGAAAGGATAGGGCCCAGATTAGGAAGGAGACTAGTCTGTGAAAGAAGCTTATTGGAACATCTCTAAGAGTGAGATATTACCTGTAACCAGTTTCTTAATGTATTAGGCTTAGACTTGTGTGTTTTCTGCTTTATTTTGCTTGGTGACTTACTTTTGTTCTGTCATTAGTTAAACCACAATTTATGAATTTACCCTATATAAGCTTTATACAGAGTAAAATGGATTTATTTGGGGTTTGGATCCCATTGGTGTCTGGGTGCTGGAAACTGGTAACCTGCTGAGCTGTTTTCAGTTAAGTCTGCAGCTTTGGGGGTGTGGACCAGACCTTAGGTCTGTGTTGCAGTAGGCTAGCGTGTCTGGCTCAACAAGACAGGGTTCTGGAAGTCCCAAGCTGGTAGGGAAAACTGGCTTAGAGGTAATTTCAGCACGTCAGATGACCGTCCCAAGTGGGTCTCTGTGACCTAACCCGTGACAATGATATCAATGGTCTTGAGTTTAATTCTGCCTCTCCCACTGATCTGTGTGACTGCCCTAGTCAAATCACCTCTTTACTCTGCAGATGGAGATAGTACTTGCTTTCCACACAGGAGTGCTGTGGGTACTGGTGAACTTGTATGCCACATTTACAGGTGGCTGAAAAATGGGGCTTGACAACTTTCTTTTTTGTGCTGCCTCTTCTAAAGCAGAACCCTTCCTGTTGGTATGCATGGGGATGTGGCCCTTGCTGTGTAGAGCTCAGAGGTGGGGCTTTCTGCATGCTTTTTGATAAGAGCCTTATGGAGGGTTGGGAGATGTGTCATAGCACATTTTTCATTTACAAAACAGTTAACTTTAGGCACTCCTGGATTCATTTCCATCTTTGTTTGGCCCTCTGGTATTTTCAGTGTGCTCTTTGCTCTGTCCTTGCTAGTGCTAGCCTTGCTAGAGGGGCCTGCTCCGCAGGCCTGGGCGAAAAAGCCTGGTGTTGGCTTTGAGTGGACTGGAGGGTGCTGTGCCAGTGATCACAGAGCCTCGGAGATATATATACACACAGATGCTCACAGAACCTGTCTTTTTCAACTCCACTGTGTGCTGTGTCGCCTTCCAAATGGAGGTGTCTGGGCTTATGAACTGGACTAGTGAGCGCTTTCCAGAGAGGAAGTACTCTAGTCTTACTGAGAAGTAAGAAGGGTCAAGGTGGCTCCATCCCAAATGCAAAGAGAAAACTGGTCTCTCCAGCTGTGGGATGGAGGCTTGTTCAGAAAGCCAAGCAGAAAAAGCTTGGATTGTACTAGAGCTTCCCAGTGTCCTGCTGGCATGTCAGGCTGGGCACTGAAAAACAAGGGCAAGATTCTCTGCTCTGGGAGATGGGCTGGGAGGAAAGAAGCCACATTTCGATGATGCTAAACAGCTGAAATATCTTCCTGAAGTGTGTGCTTCTCAGAGATGTCTGTCCCATTCCCCTGTGTCTATTCTGATAGTTAGGAATCTGCGGTGGATGGTGACACCTGGGATTTAAATTGATGTTTACCCTTCAGGCTGAAGACTCTATTTCGAAAAGGTCATTGGGCCACTATAGATACTTTAAATGGGGAGGCAGATTCTATACCTTGTTTCACTCCCTTTGCACTGTTCAGGCAGCATGAAGATAGCAAATAACCCTTCTGACTTCCCTGAATGGAGCTCAGTGTAACAATCTTGGTAGGAGGAACATGAGAGTTTGAGTATTTAAAAAAAAAAAAAAAAAAAATTAGCCCAGTTGCTAGGGGCTGCCCCTGCTCAACCCTGCTGCCTAGGCACACTTTAGGGAGTACAACCCTATAAATGCTCCTAAAGGGCTAGTGAAGATCTCAAGGGGCAGAGCAGTGCTGAGGTAGTTAAATCGGCTCTTCCCATGGGATGGAAGATGTTGTTATGAAAGCTTTTTGTTTGTTGGGTGTTCTCCCCACTCCTTAAACAAAATATGCTCCTTTTTGGCATGCATGATCTCCAAGACACTATCAGCCCTGCAGAATGGTGCTGTGTGTAGCTGTTGGTCTATAGTCTTGCCTGTTTGTATGGCTCTGAACTCTGTCTCACCCCAACAGTTGCCTTTCATGTTGCTTAGATTTTCCTCTCCGAGGAAGTAATTGAGTAAACTAGTTCTGGTGCCAAAAGTGTGAACAATGAACCTGCACATCATCAAAGCAGAGGAACTGACCACAACGTTAGTAAAGCCACCAGGGTGTGGGACCCCCTCGCCCTGCCCTTCATTCCCTCTCCCTCTTTATACCAGCTCATATCCCCCCCCCAGAATGAGAAATCCCAGTTTCAATCCTGTCTTGTGATCCTGCGTTTCTTTAGGGGTTGTCCTGTGCTCTCTACCTTTCTGTAACCTGCAGAGGAGAAAATAGAACTCTGAGTTGTGCCAGGAACCAGGTGAACTTCAGGAAAACCTTGGTGTTTTGACCTCTTTCTTCCAGGCTGTTGTCTCCATTGTGTGAATGTTTGAGAGAAAGGTGCACTTCAGTGAAAAACACACAGGTAGTAAAATCAGGTGGTGCCAGGCAAAGCCAATCCCCTCCATGATGTAATTGCTGATAATAGGAGGTGCAGTGCGTAAAGGCTCTCTGAATTTGTTAGGGCGTGACACAGTCACAGACTTGGCCTGAACAACAAAGTAATCCCTAATGATAAAACCTCCAAGTGGCAACTCAAATGACAAATCAGTGTAATGAGAAGCAAATGGAAATAGTTATTACTTGGAGGATGTAGTAGAGGTTACTTGCATACATGGATGATATAAAACTGAGGTTATGGGGCTGAGAGTGGATTAACGTGCAGTGAAATTTCCACATTGAAGAAATGGGCAGAAAAGACTTGAGTCCATTTTAAATAACTGTGTGAAGTCTAATGAAGGAAGAAACCATGAAATGCCCAGATCTAGAATGGGACTAACCAGGCAGTGGTTGTTGTGGAGGATTATTTGAATATAGTCTGTGTGCATAAGGCTTTTCAGTACATAAAGATCCAGTCCTTGCCCTGATGGTCTAGCAAGGTGACTCCATCTCAGTGGAACATTTGCCTTCTGGAATGAATAGGAGTTTCCAATGTAAAAGCAACTACAAATTATTCTGCTCTACCTGGCACTTGTCAAGCCTAGACTGGAGCACTCGGCTCAGTTTGGAGTACCTCAGTTCATAAAACAACATGAACAAACTGGAGAGTTCGTAGAGCAGTATCACCAAGGATAAGCTTTTTATTCAAGGGCTGTATGGAAGTGGGCAGATGCTGCTCACCCTGGTGGTCAGAAGAGATCCCTTTACTGCTCTTAGGGAGCTCTGTTACAACATTATCCTCATTAGTCAGTGAGTGTGGACAAGCCCATGGATTTGT